TCCCCTCAGAATTGCACGGAGCCAGTGTCAAAGTACAGCAAAGGGACACGACACCCAGCAGGAACAAACTCAGAGGACATGACTGGATTCCCTGATCAGAGCTGCTGAATTCCAGCCAGGATGGTTGATTTTCCCCAATTTGTCTTGCTGGCAAGAAGCAAGACAAATTATTTTTTCCAGCAGAGAGGGGAGGAGGCCAGGAGAAGAAGCAGTGTGATAAACACCCCAGCTCAGAGCTCACAGGGAGAGCATCATGCAGTTGATATATACGTGCACAGCAACGTGGATGTGTGCCAAATGCATCCAGCTGAAGGCCCACGTGCATATCCAATTGTACATGCACAGAGTGCTGCACATCAGCAACCAATTGCTACACATCTATAAATCTTCTCCCAAAGCCAGCACAGTTTTTAAACATGCCAGGTGGACATGCAAGAATACACCAGGTGTTAGCAGGAAGATAACTTTGCTTCAAATTAATGGTATTTTTAAATAGTGTCTTAAAAAGCACTGCAACTTTTCAGTTTACAAATGGAGTATATCTGTATAATCTAAAAGGACAGACAGGCATTCTGCCACTTCATATCCTTGTAATAAACCTACATGCATGGATAACTTTCTGCCCAGCCTCTCTGCTTCCATTTTGGCCAGATACACAGCACTGTTAAGCATGTCTGCATTTGTGTGCCACTGATTAATCAGTCAGGCATCAGTTTGCTTGAATAAATTACAATCTTCAGGCACATATGCAAGGCATGTTTTTAACTGGCTACTTTGTGAGGTGTTAGATTTCTAAGTAGTTCCTCTTTTATACAATCTTTGTTTTTCTTAATACTGTGGAGCTACAGGTCATAGCCATGAAGAATTTCATGCACAATCTGCATTCCATAAATATCACTGAACTAGTGTAAAAAATTATTTCTCTTATTGTACCAAATGAATTTGTTTGCCTCGTTGAAAATAAGAGTATCTCTGTAATTCTTTTTTCAGTACTTTTTGACCTACAGAAGTTCATGTATAATCTGTATTACATATTTAAAAATACATCAAAATTTGGACTACTGAACAAATCAGGAGAAATTTGTTGAAAAGTCAAGAAAGCATATGACTTGGTAAAACAAACAAACAAATCCCCTCAATCTTCTCCATGTGATTAGCAAAGTACTTTTTCTGCTCTTTTCAATGTCTTTGAAATGGAAAATCCCAGGGCAGTAAAATATTGATAGCTATTGTATAAGTTAATTAACAACTATGGCTAAACTTAACCTCAGTTTTCAAATTTGACAAATTAACAGTTTTAAACTCTGAGAAAGTTAATCTTTAGTCTCAAAGAGTTGTGTCCAATTCTTAAGAGGAAAGAGTCCAAGTGTGACTGTCAGCTTTAGTCACTCATGGAAATGTACCTGGAGAACTGCAGACCCGATCTGCAGTGGTGCACAGTGCTGTGCAGTTCCCTGGGTCCAGTGGAAATGACAAAACACTGCATTGTCACCTCCAGAAGACATGGGGGAACAGGGTGTTGAATGAGGACTGCCACCACAGTCATCACTGTAACAGTGCAGAAGTGACCTGGCTGTCACCAAGCTTTTATCAGTGCTCACAGAAGCAGACAGTGGGTGAGAAACCATTTAGCTCTGCAGACAGCAGTGCAGGTGGGGCAAGGATGCACTTGCCAGCATTCCCATCTATCACCTTGGAAAGGGCACTTTGCAGTGGAAAGCACCAAGGACAGCCCACAGTGGGGCTGGCACTGAGAGTGAGCAGAGACTTCCAGCATGGAGAGGGTGGGGGGGAGGATGGTGCTGCTGCCACCCCTTCATTGTCACGTTTATTATACAAACACACCAAGAAGTGTCAATGAAAACTGACCCATCCCAAACCCACACTTCCTGGATGTCTCCTCCTTAGCACATATCCTCTGGGTCAGACAAATCCAAGCTAGTGATTTTACTGACATTTGACTGCCCCTTGTATTTTCTTATTTGCATTTGCATCATCCAGGAAAAAAACCAAAACCAACAGATCTACAATTCCATGAGAAAAGGTGCCACTCTCCTCCTGGAGCATATGGCAAATATTACAGTGAGGACAATTTTACATAATTTGTATGCTTATCAAATGTATCTTTCTTTTTTGCACAGAGGGCTGGGGCATACAACAAAGAGAGTGAACCCTTCTCATCTGCTTATGTGACTCTACAATGGCAGAAAATACAAGAAATGGAAACCAGAAGAGCCACAGGGAAAGGAAGTTCAAATGTGTGCCAAAGAGAGTCACTGCACTCCAACAGAGAGCTGCTCTGCTGTGCATGCACAGTTCTCAGTGTACATCTGGAAAGACATGGAAAGACACCCAGAGATTTGCAGTGCAAGCTGGGACATGCATGGTAGTTACTACATGCATGGTACATAACTACAAGTTGTTCAGATAAAAGTTTCTCTTTTCTAGGCTTTCCATACAGTACAATCTGTGCATCCTGTATTGACCTTCTCATGAGAGGGTTCATGTGGTACTGGATCATGAAGGAGTATTTTTCTTTAGAAAATATGGAAGAGTGAGTTCCAAAACCTGAAGGTTGCCACAAAAATAAACTATGCTTGTGAAGGCTTGTGGTCTGTAATTCCAGTGTAAGGACTAACAGCTACTGACTGGAATGCAGTATTACTTTGGATATGTGAATGGCTTTTGCCTGGAATTGCCATATCTTTTTCTTTCTGACACTCTAACAATTAAATTGTATGGAAGTCTGCCCCTACACTTGAAAACCAAGCTGCTATATGTGTATAAACTAATAAAAATAAACAGAGAAAAATGCAACTGTGTATCCTTGTTTTGAAAAGAATGACAGCTTTTTCCAGCATCATTCTGGATATCTGTAATAGCTGTTATGTTTTGTGTTTTCTTAAAATGAGATCCTACTTTTAATTGCTGAAATATATAAGCTTAAGATGGTGCCTTCCCCAAGAACATTGGAAAAATGCCATGATGAAGTGTAGCATACCAAAAGAAACAAATGATAGAATTTCTCAATTTTGACTCATAAATAGCTTAAAGGAAGGTTAATATTATGGCATTTCCTCTGTTGACGGGAGGATGAAAGCTAAAATTTCTTAATGAAATAAGATTATGAAACACTTGGTTGTTTTTTTCAAAACTTTCATGGGTGCCAATGGCTCATCAGCTGTTAAATGCCCAATACTGCCATCTTCTGTATCCAAGAAACAGCAAATTATGTGTTACTTTACATGTATGTTCTGCACAAGGAGCAGGGGAAGTACTCCTGATGACAGCTCCTTAATTTTAAGAGAGTCTAGGATTGGGCACATGGTTAAGTAACAGCAGAGAGGTCATGGTCTGAATATTCATTGGTCAAGTGGCAAATGTAACTGCTGACTACAGCAGTCACATGCTTGCTTTGAATAACTTCACTAAGCTTCAGAGTAAGAAAGAGGATACTCATTATGCTGTTAATGAACAGCACAGTCAATTAGTCAGATTTTGACAGAGCCTGCTGTGGTGTGCTTCACCGTCAGCAGCTCTGGCTGTTTCTGCAGTGCACTACCTCCAGGATGTAAGAAATAAGCTCCTACGTTGTGGTTTAGGAGAACAATTTAGACCTTAATCAACAATGTACTTTATTAATGGCTATGCAAAACATGCCCAAATGAAAGCTACAAGCACACTGCCTCTGAAGGCTGCAATCTATCACTCCTGTCACAGAGAAATTGATTACTGACAACTTGCATATTTCCTCCCATCACACCCAGGAGGGTCTGTGTGGAAGAGTTTCCTGCATGAAATGCGTTTATAATCAGGTCAGGTACAATGCCTCAGAGATGATGATGGGAATACATCAGCAGCGTGAGCTAAACTGATCAATACACTGGAACTGTGGCTTCCCCCAGCTCTCAGAGGCTGTGGGGTAAGCACCCATGCTCACAGCAGCCAAGGGACACACTGAAAGCTCACCTCATGGCAGGCACTGAACACCCTGCTCCCGCACACAATTCCCAACACAGAGCACAGGCTGTAGGCAGGGAGTGACTGCCCGGTACTGCCATATGCAGCAGCACCCCAGGCAAGCTCAGGCACCGCTGCACGGGCACACAGGTACCCAGCAGGATTGAGGACATTGCACAGTCAGGAAAGGCTGAGGGAATCGGGCCTGTTCAGCCTTGAGGAGACAACCGAGAGAAGACCTCATCAACATTAATATTAAAAAGGAGGTGTCAGAGGATGGGTCCAGCAGGATTCATATTCTCGGCGGTGCCGAGCAATAGGACAAGAGGAACAGGCAGAAACTGATGCACAGCAAATTCCACCTGAACATGAGCAAGAACTTCTTTACTGCGTGTGACCAAGCACTGGAACAGATTGCCCAGAGAGGGTGTGGAGTCTCCCTCACTGGGGATATTCAGGAACCGTCCGGACACAGCCCTGCGCCCTGGGATGGCCCTGTATGGGCAGGGAGGTTGGAGCAGATGATCCACTGTGCTCCCTTCCAACCTGACCCACTCTGGAATTCCGTGACAACGGAACGTCCTCTGCACTCCCTCGCTTGCGGTCCTTGGGAGAGTTCGGTAAATGAGGCTCCTCGGTGCTGCCCTTCCCTGCCCTCAGTGCCGTCTTTCCCTGCCCCCGGTGCCGCCTTTCCCTGTCCCCGGTGCCGCCTTTCCGTGCCCTCAGTGCCGCCTTTCCCTGTCCCCGGTGCCGCCTTTTCCTGTCCCCGGTGCCACCTGTCCGTGCCCTCAGCCCGCACCGGCCCCGCCGCCCTCAGCCCCGGGAGCTCGGCGCACGCCCAGCCCCACGCGCGGCCACCGGAAGCGATTGCGCGCCCTTCCGCCGCGGGGTCACGTGACGTCCCGTCGGTCCCGCAAGATGGCGGCGCCCATGTTGGTGCCCGAGCCCCCCCTGGGGAAGCCGAGGTGAGGCCGCGGCCGGGCTGGCGCTGGGACACCCCTGGGCAAGGGGGAGGGCCCGCGGGTCCCTGCGGAGGGTCTCGGCCCCGTCCTGGCCGGGACCGCCCGAGCGCACGGCGGCCGCGGCTGAGGCCGCCCCGTGGCCGGGCCCGGCAGTGGCGCAGCCCCGCGCGGCCGTGGCCCGGCGGGACGGGGGGAACCGGACTCGGTGGTTCTCGGGACGGGAACGCGGCCGCGCTGGGGGCGGCGAGCGGGCCCGGAGCGGCGGAGCCGCGGGCGGGGGTCGCTGCCGGTCCCGTCCCCGACCGGATCCGGGGGGAGCGGGGCCGCCGTGCCGGCCCGCCCCAGCTGTGGCGGGGCGGAAGAGCGATCCGCGTCCGCGAAAGCGGCGGCCCTGGGAGATGTGCGGAACAGCGGAGGCTGCGGTGCGGGGAGGGAGCGGCCTGTGCGTGCCCGGGCTGAGCCCCGTCCAGCCCCGGCGCGACCGTGGGCAGGGCAGCTGTGCTCACAAGGGGATTGCCCGGCCGGGGTCTGCAGGCGTTTGCCCAGACCTCGCTCCGGTGTCCTGCGGCTGGAGGGAAAGGCGATGCCCAGCCCTGGAGCGGCTTGGGCGCCGCTGCTCCTTGCGCGTCCTCCCTGTGCTGGCCTGGGAGTAAGGGGAGTCCCTCCGGCCCTTCCTTCCTTGGGTTTCAAGAAAAAGAAGTTCCCAGGACCTGGGAAGGAGCTTCTCGCTTGTCAGCCTCAGGCACCTGCTGAGGGATGCGATCCATTTCAGGCAGGGACACGAGGTGAGAAGCGGCCAGGCTGGCCGGGGCAGAGGCAGAGGATCCAGGTGGTGACATTGTCTGTGTGGGCAGGCGCTGCTGCCGGGACAAGCACCGTGGTGTCACAGGTGTGCAGGTGGTGAGGATGTGAGCAATCCTGAAGAGGATTGGAGATGTGCGTGAAGTTCTGGCCGGCTGAGTTACACTTGTGGAATCTTTTAAAATTACACACTCCAAAAGGGGAAGGTATTAATCTCCCATCAGCATTTGGTGTGGCACAATGACAAGAGCAGAAGATGATTCCTCCTTCCTATTTTTCCATTATCACCTGCCTAGGAAGAGGAAAGATAGAATGAAACGTGACAGAAAAGAGCTTGATGTGAAAATGCTTTTAGACATTAGAGGCGTTTTAGCCATAGTGAAAACATGGTGCTGCTTGTAGGCAGCTGTTCAAAGGTGTCAGACAAGCAAGGAGGAGTCTGGCCAAGCTTCTGTAGCAGAAGAGCCATGCTGAGCATTGTCTGTGGGGGCTGTGGAGTGTGTTTTGTTAGCTGTGCATTGAGACTGCTGCCTGTGGAAAATAACAAAGGAGAAAAGAAAGGACTTGAAATTTCATGTCCTGTAAAAGAAAGACTAGAATGTGCTGAAAGTTGGACCAGAATTGTAGGGTAGGAGATCCCCAAGTTTTTCTCCCTTATCTAGTGACCAAGTTTCAGGAGCTGAAGGAGATTTCATGGAGTTGGTGATGATGTCAGGTACTGCAGAGCTTAAAAAAGATGAGACCCCATGTGTGGTGTTCTTGCTGCTGCCCATGTGCAAGTCTGAACAGGACAGCCACAGATTTACAGATTTCATTGTCACATCAGATGCTGCTGTGCAGTTACTGTTTCATATAAATGCCTGTTAATTTTGCAGTTTGTGGGATTTTGTATTGGTGAAGGAAATTAAGTGCATGTATGACAGTAAAAATTATTTGCTTGGCTGTTTTAACATAAGCAATGTTCTCTCATCCTCAGCCATCAAAAGTACAGAGCTATTCTGAAGAAGGAGAAGAGGAAAAAAAAGCGGCAGGCACTTGCCAAACTAAGGGACTCAGGTAACTGAAGTGTTTGGTACTGTCAGTGGAACTAGAAGTGATTGGGGATTTTTGGGGGTTTTTTAAAGGTATCATTTTGTGTATCTGTGATTTGCCATAGCATGCAGTTATGTAGATGTGTTAAATTGTGCTTTTTTTCAGAAGCTGCAGAAAAAGATGAATCTGTGTCTGAGGAGGAAGAGGAGGAAGTAGAAGAAGAAGAGGAAGAAGAGGAAGAAAAAAAACTTGAGGCAGAAAGGTGAGAAATCTAGAAAATGGTATATGTGCAATAAACACTTTTGTAATCAATTCCATTTTAGTACTTTGAAAAGTTCAAATATATTCTGTGAAACACAGTCTTTATTGAATATGTCAGGCTACACAGTCCTTTCCTCTAAAGCCTGAATGATTTTTATGGAAATTTCTCTTTTAAATAAGATTAGGTAAGTTGCAGTTGTTATTGTAGTAATAAATACAGTATTGAATTGTTTTTATGACAGTTGCAGCAGTCATGGGTAGTTTTTAAGTTGGTAGTCTGAGTGGTGTCTGGTTTCTTTGGTAGACAAAAACTACATGAGCAGTGGTTGCTGAGAGAAGAGAAGGCCCAAGAAGAGTTCAAGCTAAAGAAAGAAAAAGAAGAGGCTGCAAGAAAGCGTCAAGAGGAAGAAGAGGTATAAAGATGTAAAAACCTTAGAGTTGTGCTAGGCAACAAGGTAGCTTAGTGTAGTAACTTTCATTATTTTGTGATGGACCCATTTTTCTTGATGCTGGAGTGTTTGAAAGCATAGACTCTCCACTCTTGTATAGAAAAGCAGAATTGAAAAGAAAACAACAGCTCTTAAAAGGGTTTTTGTCAGATTTAGTTGCTTCTGACTAGATGAAAACTTAATGGTCAAGAAGTTTTAATGCAACATGATGCTTTTGACTTTGATTGTAAAGCATTGTTCCTTAATTTATTTTTTTCTGTCATAAAGAGGAAAATCAAAGAAGAATGGGAAGAGCAGCAAAGAAAAGAGAGAGAAGTGGCACAGCAGAAGCAACAGGAGAAGAGAGAGAGAGAGGTGATTCCTGGTGGTGGGAGGATATGTATGTTATATGTCCTGTGACATGATCAGATGCAACAGTTATGCATGTTGAAAAGGGATTTTTTATAATTAGCAAATGCATTAGTTAACTCATTTTGTCTAAGTTCCTAAACTATTGTTCAGTGTTAAAGAGCATCCAGGGTCTCCATATACTTGAGGTATAATTCCTGTGAACCTATCTGGTTGTTCACAGTTTGTAATTGTTTACATCAGGTAAATACAGAGGTACTGTGCCAATGCAGGTTCTGATAAGTGCACTTTCTGCATCATGTGTTAAACATAATCCTTCCTTGATGTCCCAGTTAAACACAGTCAGTGCTGAAGAAAATGCCTAAAGAGGATATGGAATATGGAAGTACATTGCTGCTGTTCCTTAACACAGTTCTTAATCAAAAGATGTGTTACAGCTCTTCTTTACCTGACTCATCCAACAGGACGTATCTTTTTTCAGAGCTCCTTGGGTGGAATAAAAATGATATTGAAGATACAAGTCATTAATGACATTTCTGTTAACGATACATTCATCATCAGTTTTACAAGTTCAGTGACCTGGATGAAAGGTGTCCTGTACAGTAATCCAGTGTGAGGACACCTCTTACTGCCACTGAAGAGTGACTGCAGCTTTCTAGGGTCTTGTCATTTTAGATTCTCCACAGTCACAAAGTTTCCAGTCATTTCTCTGGTAGCTGTGTCTGATAGCCACAGCAGGAGAGGAGCTGTGAGCAGACAGTTGTGGCTGTCTGCAGGTAATAGTTGGTTGTGCCAGTGATGATGTAACACTTGAATGAGGGATGCCAAAGAACAGCAATTATTGTATTTCCTGCCTTCCTCTGGTGGTCAGGTGTCCATTTCTGTCTTTGCAGAGTAGGGAGAGAAAATTATGCTCATGTCCTTTATTTAGGGTTGAGATACAGTTTGGAGAGAGTTGAACCATGCTAACAACAGGATTTTAATCCTCCCCTCTATCCTTGTGTCTGGGTGTGCCCAAGCCATCCGTGGGATAACTGGTGTCCCTGAACTAGATGGAAGCAGCTTTCTTTTTTATTTGGTTGTTGGATTCTTTGCTTTGTGTTTTTCTGGGTTATTATTTCTGGGGATAGTGAGTTAAATTGGCTCATAGAGGGTAATGACAGGCACCCAGAGGGAAACTGATTACCCAGCTAAAAGCAGAGCCACCCATTTTAGTAGCAGAAAGTTGTTTAATTGGTTTTGTCTGTGTCTTGAAACAGCAGTTTATTCAAGTTCTAACAGTGATACAATAAAAAAACTAATTTCCCTCCCTAAAATGAAGAAATAGATTTTCTGGTTTGATGGGTGATGGTGATTAGAGGCTTTTTTGGAGAGGGTGAAGGATTAGTTTTGGCTTTGATTTTTTTTTTTGTTTGTGTGGTTCAGGGAGTTTTGTTTGTTCTGGTTAATTTTTCTTTATTAGGGCAGGTACTATCTAACATCCTTGGTGATCAGTACCAGATACTGTCTGGGTCCTCATCTTTAATTGCATTTTTAAATTTTTATTTGCTGTTTTTAAATTTAATTAATTCTCTTCCAGTCCTAGCATATTTTCTTGTACTGATTATATTAAAATATCTTTTTTCTAGGAACTTCATAGAGCAATTTATTAGAACCAGTGTCCAGCCAGTTTTGGAGAGTTGTATTGTTATGCTCAGCCCACTTAGAAAAATGAAGGGAAAGAATATCCTCATTGCTTTCCTGTATTTGGAAGGCTAGATATGGTTAACTTACAATGTTTAGGTTTCTTACCAGTTACATCTCTTGCTTTAACAGAGGCTCACTAAGCATTGCATTTTTCTGTGTATTCCATAAAATTTGTAAGTTGAAAACATTTTGTGCAACTAAACAATTATGGACTTACCTGTGTGCTATGGACTCAGGCGGTGTGCTAGAGCAGGAGATAGATTTAAGCATCAATAGTTCTATGATAGTTTTAAAAAAGAAAATTAAACTTCTCTGTTGTCTGTCATTTAGTTTAGAAGATCATCTGCGTGAGGGTCTTGTCTGATGTATCCTTTAACAGCTTTGTAGTACCTGAATTGCTGCAGAGCCAAAGTAAATCTCCTGTTTTTAAAGCAAACCCCATCACACTTTCATTATGCATAATCACTGAGCATTGTAAATTAGGTTCTTAACTAAAGAAACCAGATGTTTTGTGTGTCCTCAGGGTTTTCACTAGTCCTGTGTTTGCACCATTTATAGGCAGCTGTGCAGAGGATGCTGGATCAAGCTGAAAGCCAGGTATGCTCAGAGACTTTCTGAAAAAAGAACTGAAAAATAATTTAATTTCCATCCAGTGTTTGCCTTCTAGCATGCTGTCCATCTGCTCTCCAGAACCTAATGGCCTGAATAAATTTAATATATAGTGGCTTGCATGAGCTGTAAACAATTATTTACTGGGTGGAACATAATTAAGCATATTTCTGGCTGGTTGGTGGCAGTGCAGTTGTGCATGCTGATGACTGTTCAGGAGGTCTGAGTCAAAATGAACCTGGAAATACTGCTGTGTGCTCTTAAAAACCACTGTGCATGATGGTTTATTTTGTGAATTGTAATTCTAAATAAATCTGTCAGTCCTGGGTGGCAAGATAAACTTGTCTTTTTAAGCAGATGTCAGGCTCTAAATAAGAGGATTGAGTGGTAGAGAAGGGCACAGATCCTTAATGAAAAGAAAAAAAGGTGGGGGGGAGAGAAGCTTGACTGCTTGGATGCCTGGAAGAGCATGGATCTCAAGCTGGAAGTGTGTAGAAAACAAAACTGCAGTTTTCATGAGACTCTTAGAGATTACCTTAAAGAATAATTTGGATTTTTATCCCTGTCACATGGTTAAACTTGTGAAGATTCTTGCTCTGTTTAAACCACTGCACGAATTGGAAAAATAAGTTTTAACCTAGTTATCCAAGTCCATTGTTTATTGACTGCCATAGCTACACTGGAGTTACATTTGGTTCCAAATCATGTTTAAACAGTTCTTTAGGTAGGGAATCTGTTTCATAAGATGGGTAGGAAACTGCTCTGAACTGCTGCCTGCCCAGAGCTCAAGATGCATTAGCAGTCATGTCTGCAGAGGAATAGTCAGAAATGTGGTATGTTGGAGACTGCATTAGAGTAGCAGTTCAGGGTTCATTTACTGCTGACATAACAGGGCTGTTCTGGTGATAGAAAATTATGGCTGCAAGTCATGAGCAGAATATGTAGCTGGGTCAAATGCTGCTTGTGAGTAAAAAGAATTTTCAGTTGATTTAAAATGAGAACTTAGGCCAGTCAGCTTTACAGATTGTTTGGTTAGAATGAAAATTCCTTTTAAAATATGTGTCTTGGTTGTAGTCATTCAAGGCTTGCAACTTGGTGAGGCCATTTTGAATTAGAGAATTTTTAGTGACCCAAGATGATCAGTATGGACACTTACTTCCAGTGCTAACTATGAATTTCATTTTTTAAAATTCTGTCCTTTGGCAGGTTACTTCTATTTTAGCTTTTTCTAGATGCACATAGCAGTGATAATGATGAGCTTGCTGAGCTTTGGGCTGTTGCAGAGAAAAATAAGTAAATAGTCTCAGCTTTCTCTCTGCTAGGTTGTAGTGGTTTTGGGTGGGGTAGAGTTAATTCTTTTCATGGTGGCTAGTATAGGGCTTTGTTTCAGATTTATACGTAAAATACAGTTGAAAATGTGGAGATGTTTTTGTTATGGCTGAGCAGGGCCTACACAGACCCAAGGCCTTTTCTTCCAAGGTCTTTTCTGCTTCTCATACTGCCACACTGGTGAAGAGGCAGAGGGTGCATGGTTGGTTGGGAGGAGACAGCCAGGACAGATGACCCCAACTCTCCAAAGGGATATTCCAAAGGGATATATGTCAGGGATATCTGACATCATGCTCAGTATATAAAGTGGGGGAAGAAGAAGGAAGGGGGGGACATTTGGCGCATGATGGTGTTTGTCTTCCCACATCACTGTTATATGTGGTGGAGCCTTGCTTTCCTGGAGATGGCTGAACACCTGCCTGCCTCTGGGAAGCAGTGAATTTACTCCTGGGTCTGCTTTGCTTTTTTGCCTGGCTTTTGCTTTCCCTCTTAAATTGTCTTTATTTCAATGCATGAGTTTTATATCTGTTATCCTTCCATTCTCTGATCTCACTTGGTGGGGCTGTAAGCAAGTGGCTCTCTGGGGCTTGGCTGCTGGCTGGGGTTAAAGCATGACACAGATGTATAAAGTGAGACCCAAGGCACAGGGCAGCTTTGAAAAACAATGCTTTAAATAGGTTCAGCTTGCCTTGTAGAAACATAGTGCTCATAACTGCATGTGAATTCAGTTGTTAAGTTTTATTTTTGACACTCCATTTCTTTACTGTTTTCTGACTTTTGTCTATCTTAATGTTTCTTCTACAGCTGGAGAATGGTGTGAGTTGGCATAACCCAGAGCCCCCAGAGAATCTGGGAACAGAGAAGGATAGAGCAAATTGCCCATTTTATATTAAAACAGGTTCCTGCCGATTTGGAGACAGGTAATCCATTGAATATTTACCAGGATAGAAGTGTGTTGGGGAGATAAGACAAAGGCAACTTAATTAGGTCATAAGCAAACTGAGGAGAAATTGCTGCATAAAAACTTCTATGTATTTGGATGTGGACTGAGAGCAGAGCATTGCCTGGCTGGAATTGAGCTGTTTATTGTTACGGCATATTACTGATGGTGCATTCTGGTTACATTGGTGAGACTTGAGTTTTCCTTGGTTTAGACTCATGCACAGATATATTCTGACAGAATGTATATGGTCTGTTATTAGTACAGTAGATGTCTGATATGTCAGATGCTAGTTTTTTATATTTTCTAATTTGCATATGTTCAGATCCCAAATGGACTAAAGAAAGTAAGTTAAGGTAAATCTGCACACTTGGGAAAGTTGTCAGGTAGCGTCCAGAGTTCTCAGTATTTGAATGTGTGATGCATTCAGTTGTGATTCTGGTACACTGACAGGGTGCCCCTGTCTCAAGAGGGAAGTGCAGTAAAAGGGAAGAACAGAGAAGCTCATCAGGATGATGAGAGATGAGGAGCACCTCTGTGGAAGTGGCTGACAAGTCCAGACTCTGCTTTCAAAGAGGGGGATGGAAGAGGACTGTGGTAAATAAACAGCAAACTCAGGAGTAGGGTGGGAATGATTATTATCATTCATGCAATTTAGTCAGGTGTCTCAGAATGTTTGAGCACCAGCTTTGACACAGGAAAGACTTTCTCATATGAAACAAATGGCAAACTTGTTCCCAGAGGATGCAGAGGAAACTGGAAGTATAAATGAGTTTATGGAGTACATGTTCATTGGCATCCAGGAACAATGATGACCCAAATGCAGCTTCTGGTTTGAGAATCCCTGATTTTTTTTGTGCTAAGGAGAAACAACAGCTTAGCAGCGAAGGACTCTGATATTTATTACATGAATCTTCAGCAAAAACTTACAAGGTTATTTTACTAACTTGTATCACTGAAACATGTGCAGTCTAGCTATTGTAGTTTTCTTTATCCTGGGAGTAATTTGTTCCAGTGTGATGTATATTGTGGATAATTATAAGATAATTCAACTATATGGAAGCTTCAAGTTCACATCTCTTTTTTTTTTTTTATTCTGAAATACGTGTTGAATTCAATAATAAAAATTTCACCAGCTATATCACTGCAGACAGCATTTTTTTCAAATGTCTGGGTCTTCGTAGTTTTTGCAGTATTTTTGTTGTAGTGATCCATGGATTATTTATGGATTGCATAAAACTCAGTTTTGCTCTGAACTTTGCATTTGAACTACGAATAACCCTTGGAAAATAAATACTGAGAAACATCATATTCTGCCCTTCCTCTTTCACCCCTATTGATCTCAGCTACCTCCCTTTAATCTTCCTTCTTTTTCTTCACATACCTGCTTCCTTCATAATCTGGTCATTTTAACATCTGGTGCTGTCTCTAAGTTGAAGGACTGGTACAGCTAGGATAGGACTGGAAGGATGGATTGAAAGTAGTTGTGAAAAACTTAAGAGCCAGTGTTATCAACAAATAACTATTGAATCTTGTCAAAGCTTACTATGTCCTGAATAAGCTGAAACTGGCTGAGTTTGCTACTACCAATTTCCCCAGTAATTCAAACCCTAACATTTTGCAGTAATATTGGATTCTTGGGTCATTCATTTTCCTCAAGGTTCCTTTTTTTCTGGCATGTGAATATATCATTTTGTGTACAGACAATATTAGGGGGGTTTCATATTTTCTGTTCTATTATTGAAATTGAACAGCAAAAGGAGGCAGCTTCTAAATGTAAAAAACAATAATCATCAAATTAATTGTTTCCTCGTTTAGTTTTGGGTTTGGAGATTGGATTTTTTTGTTGTTGTTGTTTGCTTTTTGAAGTCTAAGGGGCCAACCAGAAGGTGAGAGTCCATTTCTGATTGACTGGGTACAGAAAAACTTCCTAGCTGAAGTCTGGGTTGTAATTGTCCATTTTGAGACATGACCTCCCTGCAGTTCTTTTGTGCTGCCCAGTGACATAAAGAGACTAGACTAGTCTGGATGTTTTTCTGGTCATGTCATGAAAAGGAGAAAAGTGTTGGAGAGTGCATGACCCAGTTGCTTGGGGATATATTGAATGGGATTCATAAAGCACAGTGAAATAAACATGGAGAAGATCTGTGTTCTTACTGAATCTAAAGATGTCTAGGGGAGAACTGGATTTCAGCATGTTAGCGAGGTAGCCTGAATATGATGGATGGTGAGGGAGATCTAATGCTTTTATGGCTGCCAAGAAGCTGCAGATTAAGGTATGACTGATTTAGAAGAATCTTTTTTTTTTGTTTGGGTTTTGTTTTTTGTAGGTTTTTTGGTTTGTGGATTTGTGGTTTTGTGTTTTTTTTGTTGTTGTTGTTTTTTCCTTCGTTTGTTTTGGTTTGGGATTTTTTCTGTTAGAAGTGGAAAAATACCAGTCTTACACTCATCCAGGTGCAGGTCTAAATGTGCTGTTCTTCCCACATTCCCAACTTCCACTCCCATTTGATGAAAACAACTTCAGTAAAAGTTCAGTTTACAAAAAGAAGAGCAGAGACTTGCTTTAAAATCTCTTTATAGAGATACTCCTGACAATCTTTTAAACCCTTCAGAAAATGGGAACACATTAACCCTTGTAGCCTAAAAGAAATTACTTCAGCTCCCATTGTGACACTGGTATCTATAACTTTTGTAGTTCTGCCTTCCTAAGCAAGAATGTGTTAATGGCATTGAGGAAGCCTTAAGGTTATGTACAAACTCACTCCAAAATATTTGGTTTAGTAATTGAAATATCTTGATCTTCCATTAATGGATTTTCTTTTATAATAACTGTAACTGAAAATGACAAATGTTTGAAGCTTCAAGAAGTGTATCTTCTGCTGGAAGTGCCAATCTTTCCACTTTTCTTTCTTCACTGCACCTGTGCAGGTGTTCTCGCAAGCACAACTACCCCACGTCGAGCAAGACGCTGCTGGTGCGAGGGATGTTCATCACCTTTGGCATGGAGCAGTGCCGCAGAGACGACTATGACACGGATGCCAGTCTGGAGTACAGTGATGAGGAGACCTACCAGCAGTTCCTGGAGTTCTATGAGGATGTGCTCCCTGAATTTCAGAATGTGGGGAAGGTGGTTCAATTCAAGGTATGCATCTATGCAGTTTATGAGCCTTATGAGGAATTCTGTCCAGCATGCCCCAGCTAGATCCTGTGGGCACTATGCTGTGTCCTTACAACAAACTGTGCATCTCTCATGGCACCTATAAACTTGTCACTGCTCTTACAGAGCACCATCTTACTCTGGGTGAATCTTCTCTCCCATTCCTCTGAAGTGTTACAAAAGCTTGGGCTTCTATAATGCACGTTTTTCACAGTACTCAACAGTTCACTTATCTCATATTCCTTTCTTTTCTTATCCTGTGCTAAGCCCCTGAGGGTCCATTAAGACTGTTAGACAATATAAATACCTCTGAGCTACTGTATTTGGGCCTAAGGAATGAAATAGTTGGGGTATGAAATGCATTTGAGTGTACACCCAAACAATGTCATTTTAGGACTGGCTGAATAAAATAAAACCAGATTACAGTGAACTGAAAAGATAGCAGATATTTCAGTAGGAAGAATTATAGAAAGGTAAGTTGCATAAATGGTTTTGAGATTTGTCATCCATCCTTAGTTTGTGCATTTGATTTGCTCAGTGTTTTGTACTGATTTTTTTCCCATTTATATTGTTGTTTCTTATGGGGATAAAGAGGGATCTGTAAATGGAGACCTCAGAGATGAATGATGTGTGCTAACAGTCCCATGTTGCCCCAAAAATATGCAGCTTGGAAGGTGCAGTCTCCTTGTATCTGAATCTATTGCAGCATCCCTTTCTGCTTTTCATTCCTGAGTGTTTTCCTGCAGTCACCAGGAGGCATATAGTGCCTTTTCTTCTTTTGTGTTCATCTACTGACAGCTGCCTCAGGACTGAGATGGCATTAGCATTTCAAGCAAGAGGAAGGTAGAAGGAGTGAGTTTTCAGTAGTTGTATAATGAGCTTTATAGGCAAGAAACCTTCACTTGTTTGGAGGAGTGGAGCATCCCCTCCGTATTTTGACTCATGGAATAATAGCCATTGTTGTCTTCTACTAGAAAACAGGATGCAGATTCCCTCTGGAGCATGGCTTGAAAAGCCTTATCAGCAAAGTCAGATCCTTGGCTTTGTACCATGGTTCTGTGCAGGTGTGCTAAGCTGCACCTGCTTGGGTCCCTGTGACTATTAGTGTGGCATTCCTTGGCTTCTGAGGCAATTGTGCACAGCAAGATGATTCTCATGCACATTTTCGCTACATTAGAGATGCTTCAGAAAAACATGTTGGCTTCAGGGATCTTAACTGTGAGTGAGCTGAGCCTCTGTGACCATTAAGAATCAGATTATACACACCCCCCTCTGTCAGCTTACTTACTTTTCCAGTGTAGCCCAAGGTTTTATTCTGGCTGTTTTTTCTGGGAAGCTGCTCCAGAATCTGGAAGGTCCTGATAAAACACTACCTTAGAACACTAGGGTTCTTTTCCTACCATTTTGTCTATGGCAAAATCATTCTCACTTGTTCTTGTATTGACACTGTTTATCTCAAATAGTTGGACTCCTTATCCTGTAATACTTAATTATACAAGTGCTTGTTATTGTGGCTGAAGCCCTTTGCTGATGCAGCACACAAAGAGGTATTCCCTGAGGGTCAGTCAGGGTTCAGGGATGAAAGGAGCCGCTAACTTTGCTTGCTGCAAATATTGGAAGAGGCCTGCAGGCAAGAGAGGCTGGAATCACAGTTTGTCCTGGAGAACTGGGTTCCACCTGCCTGGACCTGCATGTTGGAATCTTTTGTAACTAGCAGCAAATTTCAAAGTTAATTTTTAAGAGCTTTAGATCTACTTTGAATGCTAAATTATTACAAAAAAGGTTTTTCAGAACTGTACAGTGAAAGATGGTGTCACCAGCTTTTTGAAGCCATTTTAAAGGGATGCTGTGAAGATGTATTGCTCTAGAGTCTCTTACTGTAATGAATCCCTCATTTCCATGTGAGGATACTAATAATTGTTGTCAGAGCAGGATTTGGCTGTTGTACATAGGGTTGGCCCAGACAAGTGCAAGACAATGGACTACAAGCTTTCTTGTGGATTAAGTGAGGCAAGGTCCCAGAGTTAATCAAAGCATAATTTAAACATAAGCCAGAAAGGCTTTTTTTGGGTGGTTTTTTTTTTGGTTAACGCTTAGTGTTTTGAAAAACATCATCTCTAAGTTGATATGGATGAACTGTCTTAAATGAGAACTGCCCATGTCAGAATGTGTGAGCTGCTGTACAGCATAAACCTTCCACTGCCCTGACTTCATGTTTCCATCCCCTCAGGTCAGTTGCAACTATGAGCCCCACCTGCGAGGAAATGTGTACGTCCAGTACCAGTCGTAAGTACTCACAGTCTTACCAAGGGCTAAACTCCAGAGCTGAGTAATGAGTAAGAAGTGTTAGTATCATCCATGGAGTTCATTCTCACACTGTAGTGGGAACCCAGAATTGGTAAGGGGTGTTTGAAATGATTGTGTGATGGTCATGCCATCTGTTGTTTTTCCTTTCTAAAGGGAGAAGGACTGTCAGGCAGCTCTGGCTCTGTTCAGTGGACGATGGTATGCAGGCAGGCAGCTTCATTGTGAATTCTGTCCTGTGACGAGGTGGAAAACTGCCATATGTGGTGAGTCTTGTAAAGAGAGTATGTGTTACTGAAAGAATACTCACTCATGGAAGTGAAAAAGAGGGATTAGGCTGTAGCTTTCAGATCTGCCTAAGTTGTATTCATTTCTGTTTGGAAGACATATGTGCTAACTTGCTTGTGTAGATCCAGGAAAGAAAGGGAGTATTACACCATGTCACATAAGTGTCTGAATTTTTCTAGTGAATTTATCATGGTCTAGGAAAAAAGGTTTGGATTCTAGCTTTGGAAATAATAATCTTAAGGTGAAACTCCAGGAAGTACTAATTTGTCTCTTGAGAAGCAACAGCAGTTTCTGGACTATCAACAGTTCTAAACAGTAAATATAACATGTTCCTTATTTACCTTCTTACATTAAGGTAAATAAAATTTAATGAAATTAAAAGTTAAGTTTGTTATAAGCTAAAATCAAATCTTCATAGCAGTTTAAAAGCTAATTCCAAGAAAAGTACACAATGAAAGTTAATCCTGTGTGAGTTAAATTGATAGTGGTCAGATGTATGTTCTTCTGTTTGGAGATGCAAAATTCAGTTTATTACATTTCTTTCAGTTGGTACATAATGAAGAAAGAGATTTAACAGGTCTGGTTCATAAAAAAGCAAACCCTAATCTGTTGCAGGTTTATTTGAAAGGCAGAAGTGTCCAAGAGGGAAACACTGCAACTTTCTTCACGTATTCAAAAATCCAAACAACGAGTTTTGGGAGGCCAATAGAGACATACGTATTTCTCCTGAACGGACTCATCAATCGTCTAAAAACTCTGAGAGGAGAAACCGATCGAGCCATCGTGACGACTATTACAGCCGCTCCAGGAGGAGGAGCAGCCCCAGCCCGGACCATTCCCACCGCAGAAACGGAGAATCGGAGAGGAAAAAGAGTCGCCGCAAAAGTAAGAGGCGGCGCCACTCGGGGAGGTCCCGGAGCCGAGAGAGGAGGAGGTCCCATAGCAGGGGCAGGAAGAGGAGAGGCCGCAGCCGCAGCCGCAGCAGGAGTCACAGTCGGACACGCAGCAGGAGCAGGAGCTCCTCTCGATCCAGGAGCAGGGGTAAAAAGAGATCAAGCAGCAGAGGAAAAAATAGTGAAACTCCCAAAACAAAGTGAGAATTACTTTCAGAAATCACTAATTGATAAAAATAGAGCTGAAAAAGAAATCTTCCCAATAGGGTACCAGATATATATGAATTTCAAATAAAAGTGTTCTTGCACATTAAAATGTTTCTTCCTAATAAAGGAACGTAGTTTACTGTGTGCGAAGCTTGAGAAAATTTAAAGTTTTCAGTCATATAGAAGGTGTGAATGTCAAGTACTCTAGCTACTCTGTCCCTCTGAACAGCTGCCATACCTGGATGCACACTGAGTACAAATAGAGAAGTGAAGCCTCTTTGGTATATGCTTATTTCTGTTATGTGTATGTTAAGTGTTTACTGTTCCTGTAAGGAGTTAGTACAGAACAGCCAGTGTGCAGTAAATTCACACCCCAGCACACTGCAGATCCAGGTCTGTGTAGATGACTGCCATTTGTATTTTTCATCTGTTTATTGGAAATTACTTTCTAGACAAAGAAAATATAACTGTTTTATGAATTGGAGAAAAGGGATCTCAAAGACATCAGTGTTTGATTGTACAATACTTGCCCCGTAGGAGCTTTTTGGTCACGAGTGTTGGATTTTTCTCGGCCCTGACTGAGCTGCTGAGCTGATGGCTTGTAGGGATTGCAGTAGACTAAAACCAAGCAGAAAGTACACAGAGAAACAATCAGTTTATTCAGTTCCTTAATCCCCAAGTGAGACTGGAGACCATGCAACTGTAATCCTTGAGTGAGGTCAGAACTGCTTTGCATACCTCTTGGTTGCACACCATTTGTAGGTGAAAAGGACCTGCCTGACTTGTGCTGGAGGGGTGGAAAGTGTCCATCGGGGAACCAAAGATGTGATTGTGGAGGCTCAGTCAAGATGGCTGCAGAGTGGCTGAAGAAACTGAAGGGTTTATACATGAAAGACTATTTCATGGTTTTGGGAGAGGAGGACTTGACTTAGAGCCTTTTGAGGTTTATTTTAGAAATAGTTTAAGGCACCCTACTGCCTTGCTTTCCTACAGCCAAGGTGAAGAGTAGGGTACATAAAAATGAAATAATTGCAACAAAACCTCCTTGAAATGACAGCTATATTAGCGAAGTACCTGCAGTTAGATAAATCCTTACCAATATTTTTTCACTTTTATTTAAAAGATTTGTGCTGTTAGATGTACTGTATTTCACATGGTTTATCTTCAGGTTTTAACTTGGGCACCTCAGTGTCCTCAGATGCTTAGAGAGAGCTTGTAGCACCAAAGGTGCAGGTGCCCTAATGGTCTCTAGAGATACCTCCCTGTCTTTAGCCTCTCCAAAGAACTGGGCCTCTGCCTTCAGAGAGCCAATCAATCCCAAGTGTTAGGAGCCTAAAGCAGGCATGAAGTGCTCCCAAATAGGAATTCATTACAACTCCCAGCAATGTAACATAAATTCCCTTAGAAAATCTATGTATCTGAACTTTACAAACAGCATTCCTCACAGCAAGAATGCTTTTCCCCAGGATAGTTAAGATCAAGTGAACATTGCTTCTGGATATGATATATATATTTTTGCTTTTCTAAATGCATAGTGCACCTAGCATGCTGATTATATATTTTTCCTTCTTTCTTCATGTGTAACTTGTCCAATATGGAGTAATACAACAAAAGTGATGTTCAGTTCAAACCCAACTTCCATGATATATTGTCATAACTGTAGGCAGAGCTGTAGCTTAGTTAATTTGATTAAATGTTTTAGTTATTAACAGATGTAGGAATTGTAATTAATTAGCATAACTTTTGAAATAATAACTTTTTTAAAAGGCATATTTCAAAGGACAGACAGCACGAAGTTTTTAATTCCATTTGAAAAATTTGTTACTGCCAGTTTCTTATAATGTACCTTTTTCTCACCACGCCTTAGAGACAAATCTTCCCTGAGGTTTCTATTTTTATAGATGCTCAATTGTCTCGCTGGGTCACTTGCACTGCATGTGGCAAACTCTGGTTCAGTTGGCCACCACAGGCTGGTTCCATCCTCCATTCCCTGGGCTGCCCTGCTTCCCAGAGCTCTCAGGTGGGAGAGCTGGCTTGTGCCCCTGCTGTGCACCCCGTGTCACATGGACAGATGTCACGGAGCATTAGCGCAGCAAAATCAGCTGTCCAGCTCAAGGAAATGTGGAGTGGGTGGTGGGAACCTGTGACCAGTCAGGTGAAATAAGCAACCAGGCCTCCAAGGGATTAGAAACTAAGTGCCCACTAACAACCATGTGAGAATTCCACAGGTGATTAGGCTCCTTGTCCCCACAGTTCTGCAACAGGATTTCAGAAGCTAAGTCGCTGTATTTAAAAAAAAGCAAAAAAAACCAAACTTGCTCAGAAATGCATGTAAAGATTTAAATATACTTTATTTCTGCTACTACAATGGCTGAAGCTTCAGCTTGTTTTTCTTGAGGTCTGGACCCAAATGTGCTGGCTGTATCTGTACAGTGTAGGACTGGTAGCTGTGATTGCCCTCCACTTTCACACACTGTCTGTTTATTACACAGAATTTGAGTGCTGTAGATCTGACATTTAGCTTGCATTTGTTAGCATGAAACCTGGGATTCCACCAGTTTTCTACCTTTGGAGTTCGTATTTTTCAGTATTGTTTCTCTGCTTCATAATCTTAAGTAGTGTTATATGCATGGTTTTGTGTTTCCTTATTATTTGAGTGAGCTATTTTATTCTGGAGAGACAAACAGACTAGAAGTTTTTTAATGTTAAGCTTAATTATTTTCTTTCCCAAAGGGAAAAAGCCCCAGAAGAACATGGAAAGGATTTAAATTTGTAAGGAACAGCCTATTCCCATTGCGTGTTATTCCACATATTTCACAGGAAAGAACCTTATAAAGTGAATTAATAGGGGCCGAGTTTTGTTTTGTCTTCAACGACTATTTAAAAGTAGCAGTATTTCAAAATACTTTTTTTCAGTTGTGAATTCTGCAGGGATCACGGAGGTGCTTTGGAGTAATTCTGGCATTTACACAGAGGCTCAGGGTGGCAGTGCCAGGGCCTGGCAGATGCCCTGCTTCAGTCAGGACGGGGAGCAGGTGCTGCCCTGCCCTTCAGGGGAGGAGGAACAGCCCAGGCAGGCAGCAGCGCTGCCTTGTTCAGCAGCACAGGGGGAACAGCCCCTGTAGGCATGGGCACTGTTGCTGCCCAGCAGAATTAAAGCATCAGGGAACTGGGCTTGTCCCCTCGCAGCAGAGAGCCTTCCCTCCAACTGTAGCTGGTGGCCCCTTCTGTGGGATTGCATTCCCTGTCTGCCTGTCCAGAATAGCAAACCCCCGTCAGGGCTGGCACGTGTCCGTGTGTTGACTGCAAGGCATTTCTTGTGGACACCCAACAAGGCCTTCCCTCTCTGGCCCCAGCCCTTGTGTATAGGGCACATTGTCCAAAATGTATCCCAAATGACTCCTCTCCCACTTTTATGCCGTGTGATGGCAGCATGGCCGTTTTGCATCCAGTTTTGCATTAGCACGTTCAGTGTACTGAAACTGCCCTCCAGTTTACCAGTGACATTCCTGTGCCCTAAATAACTTGGGGTTTTTTCTAAAGATATGCAAGAGCCTGCTAAAAGATGCTATTGCTTCCTGTCCTGGATCAGCACTTCTTACAAAACATGAAAGATGGAAGTTTATGATAGTTAATAACCTAAAAGCTTAATTTACTTTCTTACATCATCCAAAGAGTGCAGCTCATTTTGCTTTCACTGTAAGCTTGTAATTAAAATGAACCCCATTTATTCCACATACACTCCTGCTCAGCAGTGATGTGAACTGAGTATCTATGGCTGAAAACCAAAACTGATGTGGCATGGACAGGTGACGCTTTGTCGAGCTGTGGGACAGACTGCAAAGCAAGCTGGACAGCCGTAACCCACGGTACATGGGACCTTGACAGAGGCAGCCACGGGGTGAGCATCGCTGTGGCCTCGCCCCAAAAGGAACAGCAGATGTTCAGGAAGGCCTCTTCGAGTTAAAGACTTAAGTCAGTGAAGTTGAAGACATTTAAGACAACAATCAACTTGCCTGAACAATCCAGAAATTCCTACTTATTCTTTAGCTCTCCCCAACCCTTCCGCACAAGACAGGAAATTCAAAAACCGGAATTTCATTTCAGATTAATTTCAGAAATGCCCAAATATGTTAATTTTTCCCCATGCTTTTGCTGATAACATCAAGCAGTTCAGTTCTTTTGGAAAGGTGGAGAACAGATTCATCTGACATATTTTTAGTTGAGACCAGGATTGTAAATATTGCATTGACTTGTTCAGAATTCTGTGAAAAGAACTGAATATTCAGTCTCTATTATCCAGAACTCTCTCTCAACATGTGGTTTAATTTTCAAATGAAGTGGTACTACCCCATCAATTTAACTTTCACTTAAATAAATTTCATGTTTAATGTGGCCAGCTTTCCAAAAACTTGCTAATTTATTGCTTTCTCTACAATTTAAATGGATGTAAATAACTAAACTTGGACACAGTATCCTCAACATTTTTTAATGAAGTGCTCAAGAACAGGTTAAGCACTGTAATAAAATTTCCCTTTTTTTTAAGCCAGCACTGAGTGGCCTCTTCTTTCCTCTGTGAATACAGGCACTAATTACATATAAACACAGCAATGGTGTAAAAATGGACATTTATTACAACTAAACCAATGTGACAGACAGAGGTCAAACAGTTTGTCACAATCACAACAAAGCTTAATCCAGCCAAGCACATACAAGTGACAGTGTAAACTTTAAAAACATGTTTAATACATATAAAATTGCTTCTGGTTTGACTTAAATCCATTTTACCACTACACACACAGGGTCCTTTCACCACCCCTCTACCCTCATCTACCCCTGCCCACTGGGGAAATGCCCTGGGACAAAAAACAGTCTCTGGTCATCTGGAATCTGTGTGTAAATCCTGGAATGGGCATCCATAGACAAGTTCTAATGGCTTGAGTTCACAGGCACCACGCTGGTACTGCCACAGGAGTGGCACACACAGCCTGGGCCTGGCTGGCCACTCTTTTGGCTCAAGTATTGGTGCTGGGGTCTGGATCAGGGCCTTAGAAGTGGCACCACTGCACCTTTCCTTTGGCTGGTACTACTGAACCCACTCTGCAGCTGGCCACTGCTGGAGCTGAGCTCTGTGAAAACATGGCACCACGCAGGTGAACAAGCCAAAACTCCTAGGGGACGGTGTCTGGGTGGAGAGGGAGGGGACAGACAACAGAACTTGGCTACTCTCAGGTGCAGACTCCCCCTGTCTCCCTCAAAATCACACATGGATCACATTTCTGCAAGTGAAACAGGCTCAGTCCTGAGAGTCTGTTCAAACTGTCAAAATATTTCTGGATATCAGTTTACATGATTTGTAGTGATAAGAGCTCTCACTGCAAATTAGTTGGTTCAACTACATCATGCAGGAGTACTGTAAGGGATGTATCACATGTTTAATGTGTTGATCAAGAAAAGCAGTTAAATGACTTTGACACTTAGTGTGTCCTAAAAGTACCTATACACCCAATAAAGCGTAACTACAAAACACCAAAAAATACAAATTAATTGTTAGACTTCGAAAGAAAATAATAAAAGGTCCCTTCTGTAAAGCTTCTTCTTTCCCATCTTTGAAAGTATTCAGTTTTCATTATACATCTCTCTATTCAGTTAGAAAGCTTTCCTTGTGTTCATGGTCAAAGCAAGCTAATATCAGACCTAAAAACAGTTTCCTTATTCAGTCTGGGCTGGTTTTCCTTCTCTCCTATATGCATTCCCTTTGAAGTATAGTAACTTGCACAGTTTTGCTCAAGGTAGCTACACTAAAATACACCTTCATCTCTAGTGAGTTGATCAGTTTTCTTAAAAAAGCAGTTATCACCTTAACAGTTTTTTACCAGTTTGATATGCAGATCCTGGCAGGATTCTTTGGTATAATGACAAATTCAGTAGTAAACAGATATTTCCAATCATTATGCAACAACTGAAATAAGCAGAATAATCACAAGTGGTGACTAAAATGTAGATGAACAGATTCTTTGGTTGCATAAACACAATTTCTACACCAGAACATTTCATATTTGGAGTTGTCCATGTAGTTTCTTTTCATTTAGGTAGACTATGCTTATGTCATAATAATACATTTATTTCCTGAAGTCAAGTTCGCTTATAAAAAACAGTAGGCTTATCGAAGTCAAATGCAATTTTCCTATAAATGCAGTGAAGGGAAACACTGAGTCAATTTAAATCTAATTCCCTTTCATTTATAAATTTTGAACTTAGGTTTCTTGTTCCCTTTTCAAAAAAAAGTATTTCTGTATTTTTCTTGTAGGCCTGAATGAAGCAGCTTAGCAAAACAGTAATACTGACAAACAGCATCTTACACCATTAGCTAAACATTACAATGAAGGCAGTGAACATTTACAGTATGAAACACTGAGATGGCATCAGCTGAAGAGAAGATTTATGTCAATCCAATTTCTTCAAGTACACTACGTGGGGTCTCTGCTTCCTACGGAGGGAAAATTTGAGACAGTAGTAAATGAACACTGTTTCTACTGAGCAGAGCTGTACATGAGTTAGTATGGAAGGTGCTGAATTGAAAAAGAAAGCTGAAAAGACATGAAAACATGGAAGCACTGCAGTTTGCAAACATGGTATTAGCTGCACTTTTCACAGAGCTGTTAATTAGATTGCCATGGTTCACAAGGATAGCAGGTGGATTTTATTGCCCTTAAGCATAATAAAAATAAAACAATTTAGGTCTACCAGCAGGGAACAAATCACAAGTGAGTAACAGAGATAGGAGCTAGGGAGGGACGGGGAAGGAGCTTGCAATGGAGTCAGTGAATTTTGTGGTGAATTGTTTCCAGGGTTTCAAAAATCTCTTCAGGAATAACAAAGAAGTGGATGAACGAATCTACAGATGCAACTAAGATACAGTATCCCTTAAGATCTTTATAAAAGAGTTTGGGTTTGTTTGGTTTTTTATACAGTGATCCCATGTTTTTAATTAATAAAAGCAGGTCACAGTACCTTGGTACGCCTGGTGTGAAATTGATCCCTTTGAAAGAGGGAAGAGTTTTTAGGACAGGAATTTTATTATTCCACTCCAGGCATAAAGTTTTAAGTTAATTCTAATCTTAGAAAGCTTTCCTTAGATTCAGAGAAAGTTGTTTAATACCAAATTCCAAAAAATTATCATCAGTTTTGTATTCATTACTTCCATAGCCTCTGAAAATAAATGGTTTAAACTAGAAACATTAGGCTGAGCTTTTTTTAGTAACTATTAACAATGCCATGATAAATAAAAGGGGATACTGTGTCTGTATCAAAACAAAAGCTTTAACATCAAGAGTATGAATAAACTTACTTTAGCATCCTAAAACAAGACATATCATGCAGCAGAAAAAAAAGCAGATAACAGTTAAGGCAGCCAACAAATTATTTTTCAACTGCTTTGCAAATATTTATTAGAAAAATAATGTCAGTAAAACACAAAATTAAACACCTCAAACCTTGCAAGTAACATCAGAATATTGTCTCTATCAGCCTTGACTATGTGGCACAAAATGAACAAGTTTACTATGATCATTCAGCTCATGTATAAGGTGATTCAGCAGTGAAGGAAGAAGCTATGATACTTTAAGTCAACTTCATTAAAAAATCAGTCAGAGCTTGGAACAGGCATATTGAGATGGCTTCTAAAATCCAGAAGGAAATAAAAAATTGCAATAAAAAGGCAAGTTAAATCTGAAAACAAGATACTTGGTGTATTAAAGATGTAGTGCTGGCTTGGTTTTTTTCCCTCACAGATGCAATATTAAGTATTCTTAGAACTGCAGTGACCTTGACAAAGCCAGACAGGATGGCAGGATTAAAGATTTACACGTGTATTTTAACGAATCCCCAAAAGGAGGCACTGACTGAAGAAATGGCTATGTAGCATTTCTAATATAACTTTTTGTATTATATTCCCAGATTACTTTGTTGCATTCATTCTGGAAGACACACACCTCCACTATCCACCAAGGTAAGGCATTTTACTCAAGAAATCCTATGCTGTTAACTAACTGTGGCACCAGAACTCAAGAGCATACAAGAATACAACTTCTCAAGCACTTCAAGGTCTTCAAAATATTTGTAATAAATTCACTTTTTAATTTTAAATTGATTAGACAGCAGTGGGCACTTATGAGTTACACAGGAGTGCAACAAGATATTTACAAAGGTACCTGAAAACAAAGTTCTTTACAGCTGTGAAGAAAAACAGAGCAGTGCTGCCACTGTTTTTAGAGCAGTTTAGTATTGTTGTTTTCACTGCCATTTCAAAGTCTGAGATGATTTTCAGCAGGCATAAACTTAAACTCTACATACAAGTAAATCAAGGTCACTGGCTAACCATTAAAAGCAACCTATTTCAAGGACATCAGCTACTTGTCCACATCACCCATAGAACTCAGACATATTTTAATGTTTTTTATTACTAAAGCAGTAATCTTGAGACAGATGTGCCTTCCTCATCAACAATATAATCTCAAGGAACACCTAAAGGCTAATGTCTTTTGCTAGAAGAATAACTTTATTAATTATTACTTTTAAGAAACAAATAGAATTATGTTTTGTTCACATAATTTGTTTTACTAAGTGTCAAACATTTTATCCAATTCTTAGGTAAAACATTCTGCAGTGTTATATACTCAGAATCACCTAAGGCAAACAACAAATTTGAAATATCAGAACACAGATGAGGAAAAAAGTCATTCACATGAGACAAAAGTGCATGCAATACTTTATTTCAAACATGCCAGAAAAGCTAATTCATTACCTAGTCATTTAGAAGCAAGCAGCTGTATACAGATAACAAGAAAAACAGCATCTCATTACAGCTCAATGCACAGCATTTTAAGCCAACAGGCATGAAATAATGCAGGCTAAAGCAGCATTAACCAGACATCCAAACACATTGTTAATGGCTTACAGAAAAAAGGCAAACTTGGAAATGGAAAACCACTCCTATGATCTTGTTTTCTAAGATTTCAGAATGCTGCAAATCCAATCCAAATCTTTTGTCTAATCCCCTAAATCTCTCATTTTTTTGTCAGTTTAACATTTGGAAGGTAGTGCATTACCACATATAGTACAGGGAACTAAGCTTGTTTGTGGTTCATTTTAGTAACTGCCTCCTTGATAATTCATGGAAACAATTTTCAGAATCAGCCCTGGTTTTAGGTTACAAACAGGATGCATTACATGCCCTCTCACTGGCCACTTTTCAACTGAATGCACTTATATTCACCCTCGTGGCAGTTCTCCCATACACAAAGCAGCCTGCATTTAATTGCAAGTATACTGTTAATGGACTGGGATCTTTCCAACCCTAATCATTAATGGCTGGACTCAATAGGCTAAGAGGTCTTTCCCAACCTTAATGTTTCTATAATTCCGTTATTCATTTGTCAAGCAATGGTATTGTTCTCTCTTTCAGTGGCAGTAACTTAAATTACTCACAAGAGCATTCTGCACACTTAAATACTAATGTTTTAATTTCAGATTTACCCATCATTCTCTTTGACCTAATCAATTATGCCCCTCTCCTTTTTGTAAGGTCAGTCACACTATTGTGCCAGTCTTCAGAAAGGGATAGTGTTATTTGCACCTCTAATTAAGATGCATGGTCTAGGTAGAATTTAATTCAGCATCATTTAATACTTGTGTGTATACACATTTCACATGATACTTCTCCTTCACTACTTTCTCTGTAAGTCTTAACTTCACCTACAGACTTAATTTAAGAATATGTTTAAATACCACCAACCTATTTAAAAGATAAATGTGGGTTGAGTAATGTTACAATATAGGTATTGCAGTATATAGATGTTTAGCTCAGAAAATGCTACAGAACTCTTAAGCAAAGACTTCAAGCTTACACACAATAAAAAAGTTAAACCATATGGCAACAAGCACAAGTTTTGTTGAAATGAGACGTGAAGAGACAACACTGTAAAACAGAGGGGGAAGAGGAAAGTACAACAGCAGAGAATGGTTGTGGCATTCTATTAGATTCAGGATGACTGGATTCAGCAAGCTGATGATAATGTTCTGTCATGAGTAAGTCACAGGTCTATCTCCTCTGAAATTCTGCATGCATGATGAATGAAGCCATTTAGTACACTGGTACATTAAAGTATTCATGACGTGGCTACAAAAGAAATGTACATATTCTTATACATAATAGAAAGGTGGACAGATATGCAAGAAAACAAAAATATTACCTTGCTGCTATTGTATCTCTGACATTAAAAGGACATTTGATACAGAAATACAATATGGTATTTTTGACTACTCTAGATGTCCAGGGGGTGAGGGTAGTGGGGAGAATCATTGTTTTACCCCCCCCCCATACTTGCATGCTGTGTCCAACAATAGACAGAGGAACTTCATATCATAAATACTTTATTACATAAGCTCAGAGTTTCTTCTTAGCCAAAAAAAGTTTGAAGCTCCAGAGATGGGCCACCCTATCTATTACTTGTCTCTGCATCAGGCATCGACTGTTGGCTTCTGTCAGAGACAGGCACTGAGCTAAGTGGCATCTGACATCACTCACCACATCTGCTCTAATAAAACACACATTTAGAGAGGCATCAGGCCCCCAGAACATGGCTCTGAACACACCATGCCAGGGTAGTGCAGCAGTGGCATTACTGGTGACAAAAATTCCTTTTTTTGAAAGAGAGTCTGTTTAGAAAAATGGAGGCCTCTGATACACTTCTCAAAGCAGGCAAAGTTTTCTTTGCCTTTGGATTATGCTGCTGAACTCAATACACTCTTGTATGATTGGCATGAACATTGGTATTCAATTTGCTGAAAGATGAGCTAGAAAGAAAGCAACACTCAATAATGGAGTAACATTGAGGAGCATCAGCCCCATATATGCAGAATTAACTTTTTCTGGGATGAAAACACACAAAACTCAACTCTCTGCATGTCAGTTTCCATCTTTGATCCTGTACCAATTACAATCTTCAATCTATTTTAGTATCCCACTTCCCAGAATGACGGAAGTTTTAAAACAGAACTGAGAAGAGTTCCCATGGACTTCTAAAACTGTCTCCTCTGTGCCATCTCAGTTTATTTGCATGTCCAAGCTTGCATGTTTTTAAATTCTATTCTCAAATTACGAAAAAAGCACAACAAAAATATTCCAGAAGCTGCACAGTTTTTTATTCTGTTTTTCAGTATCAGTAATCTGAAGATCATGTCACAGTAGTTTAAATTACCCTGACCAAGCTAACTACAAATCCAGTAGTTCACAAAATAATAGCACCTAAATAACTCTGTGACAGTTACAAATAAGTTATATGATGCATGCTGTAATTTTTAGATTCAAAAGAATTTGGTATATAATAAAGAATTACAAACATAAATTTCAACACTTAGCACCTCTCGCATGGCCTAAGTAGAAATCATCAGTCTACATTAAAAACAAAATGCTGATGCATATTCCTA